GTGAAAAAAAAAAAAACACATTCTGAAATGGAAGAAAAAAAGACGAATGAAAAACATAAAGCAAGCATAAATGCAACTTTCGAAGCTTATCACATCAGCTAGCAAACAAAGTCTCCTTTAACCTTTAATCTCTTTTTTCTTTTTCCACTATCTCATCTATCTGATACTTTTTTTGTGTTTTCTTCATGCAACGTAACTGATAAATAAGCTATAAAAAAAAAAAAAAAAATGCAAAAACTTCTTTTATTTGCCCATCCTTTCGAATAATCAGTTAATCTTGTCAATTATTCTCATTTCCCGAGAGAACACGAATTGAGCGTTATTTTGGCATACGCAAAAAATTTCATCAAAAACAAAATGCAATAAGCAAATTTAAACCATATAAAATGGAAATAAATAACAGTTAGAAGGAAAGTAAATTGCAAAAATAATACTTCAATAAAAGTTCATTAAATTTCAAACAGATAAATAAAAGCAAAGGAAATGAAATTTAACCGCCTATTTCAACATTCATTATTAAATACCCCTCTCGATGTTCTATCACTTAATACTAATATGATTTCAAATATTTAACCCATAAGCATTTGGCAAATTAAAAAAATTAAATATTCAGTTCTAATAAAATTTAAGGAAAATATTCCCAGCAAATTACTCAGATATATGAGAATCACCAGTTTTTCTAGCTCAATTTTCACAAAATAGATCACATTTATGAAGTGATAATCAAGAATTATTACAAATAATAACTGAACTAAAATAATTAATTGAGAATGTCTATTTGAAAGAAATTGTTTCAAGTGGAAATTAATTTAAATGATGCTTTATTAAACTTAAAAATAAATGATCACTGATTTATTAATAAAATTTCTAAAAGCAAAAATCTTATCAGTTTTAAAATGCTTTTTAACTCATTATACTAACTGATAACAACAATACTGGAAAGTGAAAAAAAAAAAGAGGAATGGAAAATAAGCTGAATGGATTTCTATAAATTTCACTGAAATTAAGATTATAGTGAAATATTGAAATCGAACATGTTAGCTCGAAAAAAATGTCACAGTTGACGATTTTTTTTTTCAGCTCAATCATCCTATCACGTAAAACGTGGGCTTGCATCACGTGTACCTTAGATAAGTGATATAAAATGGATGAAAAAAAAAATGACTGAAAAGAAATATCAATGAAAAAGAAAGGAAAAAAAATTGAAAATAATCGTAATTTCTATGTTTGTCAAAAACAACCATCTCAAAATGTTACCTGAAAGAAGATAGGTAATGACCGCAAGGGGGGGGATTACATCAAAAAGAGTTAAAGTAAAAAGTGTTTGAAGAGTAATGGATCATAGGAGACGAAGTTCCAGTAGCAAACAACAAGAATGATATTATAAAAATATGAAGAATTTAAATAATGAGCTTCTTCATTAAATATGCATGTGAAATGAGGAAGAATTATGTTTAAAATGTAAATAATTAATTTCAATTCTAAAATGAATGAAATAAAATCTTCTTCCTCAAAAAAAAAAAAAAAAAGACTTCAATTTTATAGAAGCGTAAATATTCAAAATTTCTTTCAACAGTTCGTAACCACATCATTTCAGTGATGATCCGAAATGAAGATAAACATTGATTGTGAAAAATCCGATAAATGAAATTTAACAGATGTGTGAAAATAGGGGGAAAAAAAAAGGATGTTAAATAGAAATGAGAAAGAGAATATCATGTTGGATTATTGAAAATTGAGCGGAAAGGTGAAATTATTTAAAGTATATAGTAAATGTTAATTTATTGAATTGATAATGTATGATTTGTTTAATCTAACCGTCTAATAGTATGGCATAACTATTTCGCCTATAAATTAACCTTTCTATAATTCAACAAATAAATTTTTAAAAGTTCGTTCATTGGCCTAAATTTACAAATGGCCAAGGAAAATTGGCCCTTTCATCTTTTCTCATTGCCATTATTCGTTACCGATAACTATCGTTATTTTCCATAACAAATAATTTATCATTGATTTCATTTCTATTGCGAAATTTTGTTCGTTTTCAATTTATCGTAAACTATTAATTACTCGATTAATACCAGCTATTTTCCTCAAAGTTTGAATTACAAAAGAATTTAACTGAATATGATTTTTTTTTAAAAAAAAAAGAAACGAAAATTCTGTAATATTAGGTGAACTGGAATGGATGGAGATATTCTATTTATTTGGAATAGTTCAATTTATAAGATGCTAAGATAGGACTAGGCCTTTATTGCTAAAAGATGAACAAATTAAGGAAGAGTAAAAGCTCTGTAGCCCAATGTGATCATTTAATGGTAGCAATGCTAATGCTAACTAAACCTATAAATATTAAATGACCACCTGCAGCTTATAAATCCATCACCCATATATAAAAACCTTTCCTCTTTTCACAACCACAAAGGTCATCCAGGACTCGATATATCCCGCTGTGTAAACACACCTCTTTCATCTCTTTCATCTCTGCCAACATCACAATCACAATTCCTCTTTAGTATTATCATTCACCTTAGTATCACCTGTTATTATCATAATTCCTACATAATTAGTATTTTTATCATCATCATTTTTATATTCCATTCAATGATACAAATTAAAAATTTTTTTAAAGAAATGTAGAAAGTAGAAATTTCCAGATAGAAAAGCTTCAATTGAAAAATTTAAATCACTTCATGAAAGATAAAAATTATACAATCTAACATTTGAAATCAGAAATCCCATTTAGACTATTTCATCTGTTTCAGCTCCCTCTCTCTCTCTCTCTCTCTCTCTCTCTCCCTCCGAAAATTTTTCTCTCCAAAAAACTCAATTATTATTTCCATCTTTGTGCAATAAAATCTTGACAGAAATCTTTGCAACAAAAGAAAAAAAAAACATTATTTCAATAATTTACAATTTAAATATAAAAAATTGAACTTTGAAAGTGAGGAATTCAGTGAAATATCAAAAATGGTCGATTATTTTATTTCGGGCTAATTACATTAGATCGTTTGATTAAAAAATGAAAAAAAAAAACTATGAAGAAGCATAAAATTAACATGAATTATGGAAACTTTTTTGAAAGTTAAATGGAATATAAGCGTGGAAGTTAAATCAATTCGTTCGCAAAATTTTAAACATCCAAACCAAATTCATTCAGATAAATTTTTCATGGAACAGCATAAAATGCACGTTTTCATTATATTTTAAAAGTGAGTAACAGAAAATGCACTTTTTATCGTACCAATTTAACTTATTTTCCGCCTTTCTCTCTTTACTGCAAAACTGTCAATTTTGCTATGCCAAATAGCTGCTATTAGTGGACTTTATTAGTCCGAAAAAAAAAAACAAAAACTAATTCATTTTAATGCTTCTTCTTCATCAACGAATTTACGAATTTTCCCAAAACTTTAATCATTCCATTTCCAATTCAATCATGCAAAGAATGAAAAAAAATAAAATAAAATAAAATAAAAATAGCACTTACATATATAGCATACGAAATAATTTCTATTTTTCATCTTATTCAAATAAATGTAATTATTACTAAATAAAACATAAGCAGTAATTATTTAATTAATTTCCTGCAATCATTTGTAATATAGAATAGCTAAAAAAAAAAATTGAAGTAAGAAATGATTCATGAAACTTTTGTATACAAAGAAAAAGGAAACGGTCAAATATAATTCTATCATATGTTAAAAACTTCAAAATATAAATGAATGAATGGACTTCAAATTGCTCGATCATGACGACAAACTTCATTTCACTTCATTTCAATCATTTACACCTTCTTCCAGTCGTTTACAACAATCGTCAGGACCGGTTCCTCTCAGCACTAATCAACATGTTTGCGAAATGAATGAATCGGATGATGCATATAATATTTTTAAAAATTAATGCACAAAATTGGGCATACACTTTTTTTTTCCTTTTGTTTAACAATAAAGTCGAAAAACTGAAACCTTTGGGGGGAGAAAAAAAATAGAAAACTCTAAAAAAAGAGAGAGAGAGAGAGAGAGGAAAAACTCGATCAAAATGTATCGTTTTGAACAAAAAAAAAAAAAAAAAAGAGCATACAGTTCGAGTAATTTTGTCGAATTTTTTAAAGGAATACTGAATGCAATGCAAAGGAGGTAAATTAAATCAATCATTTATTTTGATTTCAATTTTGTATTCAAACGGGAAAAAACAAAATTCCAAAATCATCCATTTTTTTCTTTTATTTTTCTTTTATGTTACGATTAATCATTGATAAATTGTTGTAGCAAAAATTAAAGCTATCAATCATTTTATATTTTTGAAACTAATTGTGATTGTAAATTGCGCACAGTTCGATTTGTTCTGCATTTTTCGTAAAATAATTTGTTGGTAATACGGGAATGTGATGATTGTTTATGTATGGTAATTGACAACTAACAATGAAAACATTTTAAAAAGCAGCGTTTTAGAAATGATAATAATTCAAAAAAGTAAAATTAACTTTTTTTTTTTAATTTAACAAGTTACTCTTCTGAAATTTATTGTAATTATAATTATTACAAGAAAGGACGGAAAATAGCTACAATAATCGTAGAAGACTTGGCAATATTAATTACTATTAATTAAATTTTTTCACATAAGAATGTTTAACAATGAAGTAATGTTGTGAACAAAATTTAAATCTTAATATAGAGAAATAATATTTAAATAATGATAATTTAACCTAATCAAGTTTACTGGAAAAGTATATTGTAAGTGCACAAATAGTAGTACTCTCCATACAAAAGTTTAAATATATCAATATTTCAAAAGGTAAAAATTTCATATACGAAATAGAAATTAATAGCTTTTAGGATGCTCTCCTAATTTTATGTGAATTAATTTTAATTTTATTCATAAATAGCAAAAAAATGAGTAAATAATAAAAGATAGTAAAAACAAGAGGGGAGAGAGGGAGAAAGAAGGAGAGAGAGAGAGAGAGAGAGAGAGAGAGAGATGTTGCAATGATTAACGTTCTGTTATGCTATAGCATTAGTGGCACAAGGTAGTACAACTAAAGTGTCCAAGCAGCTAAAATTGTCGAAAAATCGATGTGAATTAGTCTATTTTGACAAATTATGAAATTCGAAAATTTTTAAATTCCTTTTGGGGATGAAAATTCTCAAAATTTAAAGCTGTCCGAATTTGTCCTTCCAATACGAAACAAATGCTTCGTTTATTTTAGAAACGCCTATATGCGGAAAATTTTGCCTTCATCAGCTATGAGAGAATATTTCTCGGTGCAACATTTGTCAGTTATATGAATGACTGAAATAAATCTTTTCAATTCATTAAAAATAACATCTCTTAAATGATTCATAAGTTATAAAATTAAGTTACGGTTAACTTACAAAAAATACTTACCGTATGCCTCCACAGAGGTTGCTCGTGCAAGATGTTTCCGGGCGATATAATCCGTATTTTCAGTTACTTTTACCGCACCCGGTAAATTTGTACTCGCTGAAAATAAAATGAAATAATGTATATTAGAACAGTATATGGAATGAAAATCGAAAGAAAAATTAATGGAAATAGAATTAAAAATTAGCAATAGTGCTAATAGTGAAGGTGGCAATTAAAATAATAATGACAGTGATAAAAATGATAAACAGAATTTGCTAGATCACTGAGCAAATAGCATCTTTCCCTATCATTGATAATTAAGAGTTTTATAAAAATTGTGGCGCATGTAAGCATTTGAAGCAGTTGCTTACTCTGAATGGTTGCGAAGATATTAGAAGAATGAGTCATTAACACCTCTTAATAAGTTGGTGGATGATTTGATGATAATAAGATGATAAAGATTTTTGAAGAGATCTACACTGATCATCATCCATGTCTAATTTATAATGATACCTATTCCGGCGATATGTTACGTCCAATCTTGCGATAGTTTTCTTTTCTTTTTTTTTTTTTTTTTGATGAGATATATACAAATTACAGCATAGGATGGTGATGATAAAGAAAATTATCGAAATGTTTGACCTCACTACCAAATTAAATTATCAGCCATCAATAGTATCGTATCTAAGCAAAAATTTGATCGAATTTGGGTCACCGATCATTCTTAAAACAAATAAATTCTAATGATAGAACATTACTTCTACAAATAATAATTCGATATCATTAAAGGGACTCTTTCTCTCATAATTTGATATCTATTTAAAAAATGAAATAAGATTGCAATTGAACAGACTATATTTGAAATTTCCAAAATTGCAACAAATAAATTGTGACCGGAACAGAAGTTATTGCATCCTCATGTCCATTATCACCTTATCACTTTAATAGTTCAGTTTACAAGCCTGGTTTCTCATTCCCATCAGTTGTATATATTCCAAATTGTTCATTGCACTTGCAGGATAAGTGTGTAAATTATTGAATTGATCAAGACGGCAAGTTATCAAGGCGGTAATACCGGAATAAATTGAAACATTATACTGAATTCAGGAATACACATCATAGTAAAAGGCAAAGAACTTCTCATCATCACTATTATCTCGATAGCCCATTGTCATCATCACTATTATCACCTGTGTGATTCTCATCATCACTATTATCACCTGTGTGGATTGCCTATTCTCATCATTACTATTATCATCGGTGTGGAATTTATTACTAGAAAATGACAGCTGCCAAGTGGGCTGAAGAAGACAAAGGAAAATATGAAAATAATAGAAATAAAAATGCAACACCTATAGGAGAATGTCGATTATTCTTAAATGAAGAAATTTTTTTTTTTTAAAAAAAAAAAAGTTATAATTAATTGAAAAAAAATTCGAAAAATTTAATCAAAAATCACAATTAGCAATTGTTATGCTTTTTAATTTAACAAGTACTTTTACAGTTCGCGAAATTACATCTTTCAAATTAATATGAAATGTAATTTTAAGAATTTATTCTTCAATGGTCGTATCTTCTTTCTTTCAACTTTTTTTTTTCCTTTTTTCAATCGCCGTTATAGCGACAAGTAGTGCCTTTGTTGTTAATCTTCGCCCAATTTCTAACAATTGAAATTAGTCACCACAACATTGCATTTTTTCAAATCTTTGTCATCAAATTTAAAAAAAAAAAAGAACTTATAAAAAGAAGAAAATGACGCCAATTTGAGTATAATTAAACTTATGCTTTAAAGATAGAATCTGCGCAAAATTTTTACAAGAAAATAACATTTTGTCGTATAATCAATCTATCAGAGAAGAAATCGTTATCCTTGAAAATTTATTACCCTTTCGCTTCCTTTTTTTTTTTTTTT